CTCTCTCTCTCTCTCTCTCTCTCTCTCTCTCTCTCTCTCACACACACACACACACACACACACACACACACACACACACACACACACACAAAACTCATCTCGTCTCATCTTATTGCTTCTCATCTCACATGCATACAGAACCACCACACAGTGCCAGAGCAGTCAACCTCAGAAAAAAGGAATGGTGAGCCACACTGCCCATGAGGAAAAGTATATCAGCCTTTTTACAGGTAAAGAACAATAAGCCCTAGAAACAGGACCTATTAACTGTACATGGTAAAGGAACTCATGAATGAAATCAAGTAGCACCCATAACCAAAGGACACATATCAGCAAGCTGGCTTATAAAACAGACAACTTCAGCAACTCTTGCCAATTTCAGCCATCTATATTAGCTATTTTTCTTGTTGCTATGATAAAAATACCCAAGAGAAACAACTTTGGAGGCTGGAGAGATAGCTCAATTATTAAGAGCACTTGTTGCTATTATAGAGGACCTATGTTCAGTTCCTAGTACCTACATAGTAATTCACAGCCATCTATAATTCCGGTTCCAGAAGATCTAATACTTTTATGACCTCCACAGGTCATAAATGGGGTCCACAGACACACATGGAGGCAAACACATAAAAAAAATAAAATGAATAAATCTTTTTAAAAAATAAAAAAGAAGCAACTCAACGGAGAGTTTATTTTGGCTTATAGTTCAAGAGGATATAATCCTTGAAATATACCGGAACACTATCTTCCAGACTTTGAAGGACATGTCTAGGTAATTTATACACACAAGTGGCCAGTGGTGATCTCCTCTCTCTACGGGGGAGCGCGTGGCGGCAGGAGTGGGAGGCTGGCTGGTTCCATTACATCAGCAGTCGACAAAGAGAGAACGAACAGGAAGTAGGGCTGGGCTACAAAACCTCCAGGCCATCCAACTTCCTCCAGCAGAGCTCCACCTCCTGAAAGTCCTACAACCTTTCCAAACAGCACTACATGCTGGGAACCAAGGGCTCCTGTAAATCACTGGGGTAATTTCATATTCAAACCACAGAAGCACCCCTGAGATGCAGCATGACAATACCAAGCCCAGAGCAGCAACACCTATTCCATCTGTACAAGGAGCACACACATGAGCAAGACTTACCATGAGACACATTGATGGCTTCCATCCTGAAAGGATGGTGGTGAAATACTGGAACACTTTCTTCCAGAATTTGAAGGACACGTGTAGGCAGTTTACATATATAAGTGGCCCAGTGGTGATCTTTCCTCTTCCTACATCGTTACTTGCATTCTTGAAGACATGGATCATCAGCAAATCTTATCTATCAATAATAAAGCAGCATAATTAGCTCTCTCTCTTTCTGATGGTGATATGAGTGAAAGCCACTAAAAATGATAACACATCGGCTGGAGAGATGGCTGAGCAGTTAAGAGCACTTGCTGCTCTTCTAGAGGATCTGAGTACAGTTTTCAGCACCCATGTTGGGCTGATCACAAACACCTGTAATTTCAGCTCCAGGTGATCAGGCACTCTCTTCTGCCTCTGTGGATACCTTCATGGGATACATTCACACAGACATTCAGAGACAAAAATAAAAATAAAAAAATTTAAATTAACTATCCTAAGGCTTCAAGTGCTCCTATCATTAGCAACATTAATGTGATTGTCATTCTGTATGATGTGAATATGTGTTGCTCTGATTGGTTGATTAAAAAAAAGCTGTTTGGCCAATGGTGAGGCAGAATAAGGTTAGGAGGGACATTCTAACTAGAGAGAGGAGAAAGAGACCTGAGGAGATGCTGCTGGCTGCCACCAGAAGAAGCAAGATGTAAAGTACCAGTAAGCCACAAGCCATGTGGCAAAATATAGATTTATAGAAATGGGTTAATTTAAGATGTAAGAGCTAGTTAACGAGAAGCCTAAACCATTAGGCCATATAGTTTAAAAATAATATAAGCCTCTGTGTGTTTATTCAGGTCTAACTTTCAGCTGCATTTATGTTCAAAAACCTAGATTCAGAGGGCTGGGGAGATGGTTCAGTGGTTAGAGTGCTGTTGCTCTTGCAGAGGACCTGGGTTCAGTTCCCAGCAACCACATAGTGGCATACAACCATCCATAACTCTAAGTTATCCTCTTTGGACCTCCACAGGCACCACAAATGGAACACAAATACACAAGCAAAACACTCCTACACATAAAATAAATAAACAAATTAAAAAGAAACAAAAGAATCTAGATTTAGGACCAATAAGATGACTCAGCAGGTAAAAGTGCTTACAGCTAGACATGGCAGCCTGAGTGCAATCTCTGGGACCCATATGGGAGACAGAGAAAAGTCAACTCTTGAAAGTTGTCCTCTTACCTCCACACTCATACTGTGACATGAGTCCTTCCCCCATCCAGTAACACATACTAAATCAATAAATGTATAAATATGTCATAAAACAAACAAGACTCAGAAAGAAAAAAACCACAGAATTGTTCCAATCATCTACTTAAGTAATGAACTAAAGCTTTAGGCATTTTGACCCTAAATTCTGATGTGGTAAATGGCACTCCTCAATGGGATCACAATATAGAAGACAATAAAAATTAACACCTGGCTCACTTACTTTTGCTGCAAAAGATTAAAACCAGAACATCAAATGGGGTTGTTTGTTTGTTTTGTTAGTTTGAACCAAGTCTCCTACAGTCCAGGCTGGCTTCATACTAAATATGCAGTTGAGACTGACCCTGAAGCCCTAAGCATCCTGCTAGTACTTCCCAAGTACTGGAATTACATACATCTACCACCATCATGGCCAACTTCAGCATAAATTTACCAAAAAAAAAAAAAAAAAAAACCTAACTATGGAGCTACCAAGACAGCTCAGTGAGTAAAATGCTTGCTGCACAACCTGGCAATCTGAACTTGATTCCTACATTATACATGAAGGTAGAAGGAGAGAAACAACCACAAAGTTTTCCTCTCTCCTCTCCATGCTTACACCATCTCTCTCTCTCTCTCTCTCTCTCTCTCTCTCTCTCTCTCTCTCTCTCTCACACACACACACACACACACACACACACACACACACACACACACCATACAAACAATAAAAATTGATGAATACATTGTTTGGAAAAAGACACTTAAGAGCTGGAAAACTGGTTCAACAATTAAGAGACATATTGTTCTTATAAAAGACCCAAGTTTGGTTCCCAGAACCATGTCAAGAGGACCACAACCACCTTTAACTCCAGTTCCAAAATATCCAACACTCTCTTCTCAGGACCTGCCCTCACATGCACAAACCACCATGAAGTCACACATGCACACACAAAATTGAACGCAAAAATTTAAAAGAAACATCAGACTATATCTGAAGCACTAATAAAGCCAAACACAGTCCCTATCTATAAACACTGAGATGCATGTTTTGAACTCTATAGTTTTGCTCCTAGCAGAGGGCAGAAACCACCCAGAGGGTATGCTGGCTCATTTTGTGTCAACTTGACAAGGAGGGAACCTCAATTAAGAAGTCCCCATAAGATAGGGTTGTAGGCAGGCCTTGTCTTAGGGTTTCTATTACTGTGAAGAGACACCATGAGCACAGCAACTCTTATAAATGAAAACATTTAAATCAGTGGCTTACAGTTTCATCATGGCAAGACATGGCAGCATGCCATTGGAAATGGTGCTCAAGAAGCTGAGAGTATACATCTTGATCCAAAGGCAACAGGAAGTGAACTGTCTTACTGGCTTGAACACAGGAGACCTCAAAGCCCATCCCTACAGTCACACACTTCCTCCAACAAGGTTATACCTATTCCAATAAGGTCAAACCTCCTAATAATGCCACTCCCTTTGGGGGCCATTTTCTTTCAAACCACCACATTTTAGTCCCTGGCCTCTAAAGACTTGTAGCCATACTACAATGCAAAACTGCATTCAGTCTAACTTCAAACTATAGTCTATCACAGTCTCAAACTTATATAAAAGACTAAAGTTCAAAGTCTCTTCTGAAATTCATGTAATCTCTTAACTGTAACCACCTGTAAAATTCCAGTCAAAAAGCAGACACCAGAATCCATCCCTGGTGCATGAGAGGGCTTTCTGAAGCCCACTACCTGGGATGGGACACCTCATGCAGCCTTGAGGCAGGGGGAAGGGCTTGGACTTACCTCTACTGGATGTACCTCCCCATGGGAGGCTTTGCCTTCTTGTGGGAGGGAGAATGGGGTGGGTTGGGAGGGGGAGGCAGGGGGAGGGGGGTTAGGAAGAGGGAAGAGGGGCATCTTTGATTGGTGTGTAAAATGAACGAAAAAAAATTCTTAATAAAAAAATTTTATTTAAAGCAGATCACATATTTGCAATATATAATGACACAGAATATACATTACTATTCCATGTGGTGATATATTGTGTACCCTAATAAATTTGCAGGTGGATCAGAAGACAGCCACTAGATTAGACATAGAGGTCAGGCAGTGGTGGCACACACCCTTAATCCTATCACTCTGGATCTCTGTGAGTTCAAGGCCACACTGGAAACAGAGCCAGGCAGTGGTGACACACACCTTTAATCCCAGTACTGGGAAGCACAAATGCCTCTAATTCCAGGAAGTGATGTCTGGGCAGAGAAAGGCATATAAGGCGTGAAGAAACAGGAACTCACTCTCTTTAGACTGAGGGTTTTGTAGAGGTAAGAAGTAGTGGCTGGCTGTTCTATTTCTTGGATCTTTCAGCTTTCACCCTGATATCTGGCTCTGGGTTTTTTATTATAAGACCTTTTAAGATTCATGTTACCATTCCAAAATGGAGGAAAGTAGGCATAGTGAAGAAATACTGGACCAAAGCAAGTCTGAAACTCAGCAGGGAAAACTCTGAAGCTCTGTATCTGATGTCAAAGGACTTAGATGGCTCTTCCCTTCCCAACTTGCTGACTGCAGCACACTTCTCTCTCTTTGGCTGGCTCCACATCCTGTCTGAAGCTTTCCTTGGCAGGAATCCCACAGCTCTGGCATCTCCAACATCTTGGGGTCTCCAAGGCAATCCAGGCTTCAACTTCACATGCAATGGCCTCTCTGGGCCTCCGTTCAGGGTCACCCCAACACATTTCTAGCCTCAGTGGCTTTCCTTAGTCTCTCCTTGAGTCTAAAGCTAGAACCACATGGCTGAAGTTGCCAAGTTCTGCTGCTTGCTGGGGCTGGAACATGGTCCTGTTGTTCAATTACATCTTCACTAGCTTTTTGTTTTCAATAGATACCTTCACTGCCTAAGCTTGGCTGCCCTGAAACTGGATCTGTAGACCAGACTGTCCTCAAACCCAGAGATCTGCCTGCCTCTGCCTTCCAAGTGCTGAGATTTAAAGGTGTGCACCACCACACCCAGCCCTAAGCTTTTCTTTAATTCCTTTACACAAGTTGGAAACTTAGCTGGGTGGGATCTTGCCCTAAGGTCATCACTTCCTCTATTCCATTTCTTAATCTGTTTATCTCCTTGAATATAGAACTTAGCTCCATTCCACTTTCTGGTGCTCCTTTTATCCTCAAATTGTACATTTTGTAATTTTCTTTGCTCAGCTTGTTCCTTTTCATTATAAATCTGTATAAGAGTGACCACTAACAATCACACAACAGATACTAAGCTGTTTTGAGATTTCTTCTGCCAACAGAATTAATCCAAAACTCTTCACTTTAGACTCAGGCAAACTTTGTGGACAAGAGCAAAAAGCAGCCACATTCTTCACCAAAATATCACAAGAATGATCACTAATATATTAATATTCCTCTCCTCTGAAACCTCTTGAGACAGACTCCCACAGTTCAAATAACTCTTAGCACCATTGTCTTCCAAGTATTCCACTTCTTTCCTAACCCAAACTCCCAAAGTCCATATTACTCCAAACAAAAATATGGTCAGGCCTATCACAATACCCAAGTCCCTGGTATCAACTTCTGTCTTAGTTAGGATTTCTACTGCTGTGAAGAAATACCATGATCACAGCAACTCTAATAAAGTAAAACATTTAATTGGGTGGCTTACAGTTTCAGAAGTTTAGTCCATTATCATCATGGCAAGACATTACAGCATGCAGTTAGACATGATGCTGAAGAAGAAGCTGAGAGCCTACCTCTTGATCCAAAGGCAACAGGAAGTGAACTGTCTCACTGGGCGTAGCTTGAGCATAGGAGACCTCAAAGCCCATCCCCACATGACACACTATCTCTAACCAGACCACATCCACTCCAACAAAGCCACTTCCCTTAATAATGCCACTCCCTTTGGGGGCCATTTTCTTTCAAACAACCACAGGCATGTAGGGTGTTTTGGTTTTT